TTCTTGGAACCTGTGGATGGTACCGAAGGTTTATCCCAGAATTCTCCACCATAGTAGCACCCTTGACTAGACTGCTTAAAAAGACCATACCCTTTGAATGGACTCCAGCATGCGAAAATGCATTTCTCCGTTTAAAAGAACTTCTTGCTACGGCACCTGTGTTGAACTGTCCTGATTTTTCACGACCATTTACTTTACAAACGGACGCTTCTGCCTACGGACTGGGCGCTGTTTTGACCCAATCTTTTCCTGATGGTGAGCGGGTAATTTGTTATTTATCCCGATCTTTATCTCGCGCAGAGCGCAATTACAGTACAACCGAGAGAGAATGCCTCGCGGTCATCTGGAGTGTTGAACAACTCCGACATTACTTAGAGGGTGTTCCCTTCACCGTCGTTACTGACCACCACTCACTATTGTGGTTACACTCGTTGAAAGACCCGCAAGGACGCTTAGCGCGTTGGGCTCTGCGGTTGCAACCTTACACTTTCACCCTCATTCACCGTAAGGGGAAAGAGAATGTGGTCCCTGATTTTCTGTCACGATCTGTGCCTGTCACTATCGAAGCCATACACAGTGAAGACGAGGTTGTTATGCCCACCGAATTTCGGAATTCCACCGATTTATGGTATAAAGACATGTTTCTACGCTTGGAGCAAACTCCGCATAAATTTCCGGGGTGGCATACAAGAAATCAATTGCTGTACAAATACGTTAACTCCGCTCTTGCTTCTCGAGAACATGAGAAGTGGAAGATTGTCGTACCTAAAGATTTTCGCAAGTCTGTTCTTACCGAGTGTCACCATAATGTTACTTCCGGTCACCTGGGAGTATACAAAACCTTTTGGAGAATACGCGAACGTTATTATTGGCCCAAACTCCTAGCAGATGTTAAAAACTTCATTTCCCGGTGCACCATATGTGCCCAACACAAACCCGAACAAACTAGACCACCTGGTTTATTAGGTTCGCACCCAACTGTTTATGAGCCCTGGCAGATGATAAGCTTGGACTTTGTCGGTCCCTTTCCTAGGTCCACTCATGGGCACACTCATCTCCTTGTTGTTAGTGACTACTTGAGTAAGTTCGTACTCCTTTTTCCTGCGCGGACTGCTACGGCGCAAATATTGGTCAAATATTTGGAAGAATCTGTTTTTCTACTTTTCGGAGCACCTCAGTACCTCATTTGCGACAATGGAGTGCAGATGAGAAGTCGTCTATTTACTGATTTGTGTCATCGTTACCGGGTAAAAGTAAGGTTCACTCCTTTATATCACCCTCAAGCCGACCCGGCTGAACGTGTTAACCGCGTTGTAAAACAGTTAATATCTATTTATCTTAAAGACAATCACCGTCATTGGGACACCCATTTAGCAGCTATTGCTTGCGCCCTTCGAACATCCAAACATGAAACTATCGGACTTTCCCCGTATCAGGTCAATTTCGGAAAAGAATATCGTGTTAGAGGGGATACTTTTGATACCGACATTAATGTACAAGACCTCGACATTCCGACCGACGTGGAGAAACGAATTACTGACCACGCACACTTATACGCTAAAATTGCTCAGCGCCTCAAGGCTAATCACCAGAAAAACAAACATATCTATGACTTACGACGACGCCATATCTCATATGATCTCGGACAGCAAGTGTGGCGTAAGAACAAAACAATTTCTGATGCTACCCGTGACTACTCAGCGAAATTAGCACCCCGTTATTTAGGACCCTTTAAAATCAGACGAAAGGTAGGGTATCTCTGTTATGAGTTAGAAGATACAGATGGGAAAATTGCAGGAACTTGGCATGTCCAAGACTTAAAACCATTCCTAACATTCGATGACCATGGTTAGTAGTTAGCCATTTGGGGGGATAGATCTTCCGGAGACGACACAACCTTTTTTCTCGGACTTGATTATACCTGATTTGTGACTTATTTTCGTTTACCTATGTTCTTTAGAACTAGGTATTTATGGGATGGTTGGTTGGGGCCTTTGCTGGAGGTAAATATTAGGGATTAGGTCGCTCTTTCTTTCTAGACCTAATTTCCTGCTCGAACACCTGAGCCCTTCCAAATTATCATTCATTTATCATTCATTTTTAGTGTGCGAATTTTGGTGTGAACTGATGAATGTATGAGAACACGAGGAAGGGGATGACCTGTGCAAGCTTCGGTGACCACAGGCTCCCTGGAATCAGAGTGAATAAATTGTTTTTCTCTGCGAATGTGGTAATTGCCATTTCTATTTTTCATCGCGCCTCTCGTCATTTCATCTGTGCTAGTTCATGGTGACGAGTAGGTTGCAGCTTTCTTCTTTTTGTTTGTGTTGTTGGGGGGGTTTCCTGTGCGTCTATCCCTATGCACTCTTCTGGGTTGGGGTTTAAAAGGGGATTTACTTTTTTTTTGGGGAGGGGAGGTTTTAACGGGGTTGGGAATGAATTCACTCTGGTGGATTGAGCTGCGACCTCTTGGGTGAATGAATGAGAGTATGAATGGAGCATGTCTGAGGACAACAGCCTGTCCCACCCATCTTCTCATTGTCCCTCCCTTAACTTCCTGTCCATTTTATTTTCCATAATCCTGATACCGGCCGAATGTCGAAGAACTCTAGGAAGGAGTGTAGAGTTTTGGCTGTTGTCTAGCGATTGTTGGATGTAGTGGTTGGTTGAATGAGTAACCCGAGACGACGCAGTGCAATCGACGAGGTGATATTCAGGGTTTATGATTTAGCTTTAATCGTCGGTAAACTTAACCAAGTTTTCCTCCTATCGAAGGAGAGGGGGGGTGTAACGGTTTTAATTCTTCTCACCGTTCATTTTCTCTATGCTACAGATTCTTACAGGCCGATATTAGGTTACGCCACTGGCATATTGCAAATTGGGAATATTTTCTATGTTTTTGCGCATGTGCGTTACTCCACCGACACGTATTAAGCGGTGAATATTTCATTCATTGGTGCTTGCTTTAAAAACGAACAGGTGTGATGGCGTCTTGAAAATTCTCATGGGCATAATATAGTTACATATCGCCGAATTGCGGATTTTCGAGTCCATGAATAATCGATGTTTTGGAGATTGGTTTGTTAGGCCATTTTATCCATCTACCGTTACGGGATCTGAATACATTTGCTTGACGTAAGTAACATCTGCGTATCATTTCTATTGTTACAGCCACGCTGTTCTTTTAGATAACGCACCTGTTCTTCGCATCACCTAAGCCAGAGCTTTGATTGCCGATAACCTCGAGGCATCTCGTTAATTAACGAGTTTTAAAAAGCCCTCTTTTTAATTAAGAGGTATGCTTAAATCTTGGCCAAAAACCAGTATTAATTCCGACATTGTTTTAGGGTTTTACTTTTTCCTGTTTTTTTTGTATCGCACGTAATTATCTCATGTCAAACTTGTGGTCACGCATGGTTGGTTTCCCACTGCTGGACCTTATTGTCATCCGATTGTCCACCTAGAGGCCGATTGTAGCGGTTATTACCCGAGCTGAGGGCTCCCGGATATCCTGAGATTTGTAACCACGGGGGTGGACAACCGACACGAGGAATCTTAAGGGGAGCAGGAACACCACGTAGCCGCCACGTTTCCGGAGAACGGTGAAATAAACTTAGCCTTTCGATATTAGTACTATTTGCCATTGCATAGGCACTCCTAATGTTAATCTTAAGCGAAGGGTTACGCTCGCTTCTGGGGCACTTTACCGATCGGAGGTACAAAGTAAGGGGATAGGAATAATTGGTACATTTACGGGTTATGCTGCTGTGGATCCCGTTGAATTTGTAAGCGCATGAGTACTCATACCGCCTTGTTAACTAAGCAACCCCGTACCACGTCATTAAAGTGTTTAGCTTATAATTAATGCCTAGAACTATCCATTTATGCAACACCGTTTAATCCAGGCTGCTTGGCCACTGCCGACCTAACTATAAAAAGGGAAAAGCAAGGGTGGGAAGACCATTTTGTTTGCGGATAGACTACTATTTGGGAAGGGTGGGTTAATTAACCCCCGGGCTTCGCATCGGTTGCCGCTCACTAATTTTTGCATGTGATATTACCTGTGGGTTAGTCATTAGTTGTTATATATATCTACTTTAGTAGTCGATTTTATACATATTTATTGTTACTTGTTATACTGTGTGTTTTGGGGTACCTTAAATTGTTTCTGTGATTATTTGCATGTGTGATTGCAATACTGTTGGTTACAAATTATACTATCACCGTTGAAGTTACCTCCAGTGTTTTGGATTATTGCTCGTTCCTACAGGGTATTTATTGCCCTGCAGTGGTATCAACCTTCCTTGTTCAGGTTGAACCGAAGACCTTCTCTAGTAGTGAACAAGGTGGCGCCCATTTATTGTTTGAGGTGGTAAGTCAAATCGTTAGTCCCACGCCCTACCCTGAGTATTATAGTTTCGTGTGGTTTAATTTAATTGAGCCGCTAGCTGAGGCATCCCCTTTATTTAACGTGGGGTTTGTAAATCAGCGCCACTCAAACTTAGCGTTACAAAATTTTATGTAAGGTCGTTAGGTAAGTGTCGTCATTCGTAAACACACAAAATTTGTGCTAACGATAAACACAATAATTACATTTAATGTAATTATTGTGTTTATCGTTAGCGTTTTCACAACGAAGACTATAATCAATCATCGTGGTTTTTATTTTCCCTATCCTCGCCGGCGAACTTTTACCAGTCCTGCACCACCCAGGGTGGCGCCCAACGTTTATCTACGAACTTTGCAAGGACGGGAGTAGAACACCGCACACTTACGATACGTTTTAGCTTTTATATAATGATAACATACACGAAACCATAACAGGCGATAACGCTAGTAAGATAATTAAATTGTTGCCTATCTTCGCCAACGATGGGACGCTCCATCCTCTTGATTTTTTAGAATCATTAGAAACCGCCTGTAATGTAAATATGATAAATTTCCAAACTATTAAATTAATTTTAAACAATACTTTGTCAAAGTCAGCTAAAGTGTGGTTGCACGCTTTCGGCCATAAATATATTTATGCCCAGTTTCTCCAATGTATCTTAAGCTCTACTTGAATCTTAAGATCGCCTTAAATCTTAAGTCTATCTTAAAACGTTGCACCAACGCAAATCTGCATCTTATATTCACAAAGGCAGCCTTACATTTAAGTCGTGAAAATCTGCGACTTAAGTCGGCATTATTGTTAGTGAAGTTGAAAATGAGTGGCATTTTGTCTTTCAAACGTCACTTTTCAAAATGGAATTGATCGATGTCGATGATGTCGATGTGGTTGATATGGTAGACATAGTAGAAAATATTCGAATACCACGGCAAATTCACATTAGGAGAAATTTATTTAATATTTATTCTAATGTTGAATTTTTTCGACGATTTCGACTCGAAAAAGGGACTGCTTTATATTTATTGGAGAAAATAGAACATAGACTAGAGTACTTCCATAACAGGTAAGTACACATCATTCATAGGTTTGTTTCACGTTTGTATACTTACCTACATATAATGCTTTTTGTGACTATTGTATAGTGCGAATTCAAGGTGTACAATAATGTTTTTTGAAATTCAGGAATAATTCCATCAGTCCCATGAATCAACTTTTGCTAACGTTAAGAGCTTATGCCAGTGCAGGGCATTTTGTTGCTGTTGGAGACTTTGTGCATGCAGACAAGTCAACAGTATGTAAAATTGTTTCAAAAGTTTCAAGGCTCATAGCATCAATTGCAAGGGAATTTATATACATGCCTCGAAATGAAGTTGAAATTGCAAGTGCTCAGAATAAATTTTACGACATTGCTGGTTTCCCTAGAGTCATTGGGGCAATAGATGGATGTCATATAAAAATTCAATCACAAGGTACTTACTACACTATTTTTTTCACATTATTTTTAGTATTATACTTTACATTCGCTCATTTCTACAAATAAGAATTTAATTTAAAGGTGGAGCTGATGCTGAAATATATCGAAACAGAAAGGGATATTTCTCTGTAAATGTGCAAGCCGTTACAAGTGCTGACCTGTTATTCCAAGATATCGTCGCACGTTGGCCAGGTTCGACGCACGATACCACCATTTTTAGAAATTCACGATTAATGCATAGATTCAATAATGGAGACTTTGGAAATAGTATCTTGTTGGGTAAATAGCACTTTTTTCAATATTAATTTACAATCGCTACTTACTTTTTAGGAGATAGCGGTTATATGAATCTTTCATATCTATTTACACCTTTTCTGAATGTTCAGAACGATGGTGAAAGAAACTACAACAGAAGTCACGTTCAAAGTAGAGTCAAGGTAGAAAATCTATTTGGTGTTTGGAAAAGAAGATTTCCTATAATAGCGTATGGATGTAGAATGAAGCTAGAAAATGTACTTTGTGTTATTGTGGCTACAGCAGTTTTGCACAATTTGGCTCGTTTGAGGGGAGAACCAGAACCACCTATTGAAAATTTAATTATGGAACACGAGCTTCAGCAAGCAATTCGAGATGGAGATATTCCTTTAGCCGCCGAAGAAAATGATTTAGGCTATGATTATAGAAGACATTTAGTAGATATATATTTTTCTAGATTGTAATTTTCGTATTTTGCAAGTTTAAAGATAAATTATATTACATATTAACATACCTACTACAATAAACATTTTTTATTAAAATTGAAAATACGTACTTATACTTATTTAAATGAATTCATTCTTCGAAAAAATACTAGATTTATTTTATGGCAACATTTACTTGGAACAAGAGCACTTCCCAATTTCCTCTTCCATTAAGTAAATTTTTTTCTTGTGCTCAACTTCCATGGCATGTAACATTTTCTTGTGCTCCTTTTCTTGCAAAAGAATTTCTTTTTGAATTTGTAGTACTTCAATTTTAGCTCTTTCTGTAGGTCCCAGGTCTGCGTTAATTTTAGGTCTCCTTCGAGCAGACCAACGAGTGCCTCGTAAAAGTGTGGGCGTGGGCTCTTCGTAAGTAAGCAGAACGTTTTGATTGCACAGTTCAGTTTCATCATGTGTTTGTTCTAAAGGTGTAATCGAAGGTGTACTGGATGTACACGGTATTTCTATGTTAATTTCTTCTTGATTGGGCTTGGAAGATATCAAAATCGGCATTCCAAGAATATCCTCTGATGGATGATCTAATATAGGTTCTACAAAATATAAAAATACTTGTATCTATGTGTGCCTCACTAAAAATATAATTAATGGAAATTCGAGTGTAAATTTTACCTTTCATTACATCAGAATCAAATTCATTTCTTAGACCAAGGACTGTCTTCTTATTTATTATATCCAAAACCAATTGTTCATTTGCTTCACAATTTTTCGAAGAAAGTGCAGGAGCAACTCCTCCACCAGTTTTGTAAAGCTCCTGCCTTTCTAGTGCCGCCTTTTTTCTTGAGTCCTGCTTCATATTGCTCCACTGCTTCCGTAAAGAATTGGCGTCACGAAAGACGTTGAAACACTTTTTATTAAAATTTTGCTCAATAATTTTCCAAACGTCATCTTTTTGATGGTTTGAAACGGCGTTTGTATCTTTATTTTCGATGATATTTTTATTTGAATCAACCAAATGAATTAATAGTTTTTTTTCTTCTTGAGTGTAATTCACTCTTTTTTTATTAGAATGCATGTTGGCCGATGTCTAACAAGTTCGGTGCACGGTTCGGTGGGGCAATGACGAGTAACTCACAGAATAAGGCCTTATTCTGTGGAGTAACTATCAAGTTTGACAGTTTGCAATTATTAGGTACCTACCTTCGGTAACGCGATTCATTAGTAAAATTGGCATTCATTTGATAAAATTCTGTGTTGCCAGATCGTTTCAGACAAATTCTGATGCTTAGCTAAGATGCGAACTTAAAATTTTGGTGCAACGTAATTTAATTTTAAGGACGCCTTACAATTAAGACCGCCTTGCCTAAGGTACAGCTTATATTTTGTTGGAGAAACCGGGCATTAGTGACCTAAAACAAGACTTAATAAACGCAGTCAATCTCGTGCATACTTCCCCTCAGGCAATATTGGCTCTCATGGTGGATGCATCAGACAATGCCATGGGTGCTGCTTTGAATCAGATTTCCGAAAACAAGTATGAACCATTAGCTTTCTTTTCGAAAAAGTTTACACCTGCGCAAACTAAATATAGCACTTATGATCGTGAATTGCTCGCAGCCTATTCCGCAGTAAAGCATTTTTTTCACTACTAGCGTCTGATGACATGATTATTAACCTTTTTTCCACTTGTAAAGTAGGCTTTCTCGGCATTTGTTCAAAGTGTTAATAATGTGGACATTATTAACTAGTAGTCAATAATGAGAACTGTCACGCTGTCACTTTTAGAAAACACAACCCGAAATTTCGCTCAATAAACGTTTGGACAAGTCCTCTAAAATGAATAATTGCCACCATCCGCCATTTCCAGAGAAATTACATACCTAAAATGATCACATTTTGAAAAAATTCGAACGAAATTACTATTTGAAAATATCAAAATGACAGACCAAAATACGGCCTGTTTGACTTGTACTTCTACGTACTTGATTGACATGTAAAATTAAGAAACAAACAATTCTGTCCAACCGTTCATTTTCTTATCAATATAATATGTTAATTTAGAGGATTTCAAGTGCTAGTAGTGAAAAAAATAGTATATATACCACGGTAGAGAAGTCCATTATTGCCTTCGCACCTTACACCCCTCGGCGCAAGCGCCTCGAGATGTAATCTTGGTGCTCAGGCAATAATACTGTACTTCTCTACCTTGATATATAATGTACTATTAGACCGCTTTTAGAGGGGCGTACATTTATTTTGTTTACAGATCTTAAACCATGCTCTTAATCAAAATCCTGAAAAAGCTTCTCCACGCCAAGCGCGTCATATCGATTATATAGCCCAATTTACTATTGACATTCGTCATGTATCTGGTAAAGATAACATAATAGCTGATGCACTCTCACGTATTGATACAATTACAGTTCCTAATTCGATCCCATACGATGAGATAGCACGAGGCCAGCAAGACGACATGGAGCTACAGTCGTACTTAAACGGTAAAGAATCTTCAATGGAACTAGAGTGGATCACAGTGCCCTGTTTAAACCTTAGAATTATTTGCGATCAATCTACAGGGAAATCACGACCATACATACCCAAGCAGTATAGAATAGTACATTATACATCAAGGGAGAGAAATGCATTATTTTTCCCGCGGTGCGATTTGTAGCCAGAGGGCGAAGCGAAGCGGAGCCCGAGGGCTACAAAGCACCAAGGGAAAATGGCATTTCGCTCCAGAGGTGTATATACTATTTTTTTGCATTCGCGTCGACGTTTACCTATACTCTTTAAATGAATTGATGGTTCTTTGAAGATTATAACCACATATTAATCAGGTTAGTGGAGAATTAAGTATAACCGTGGCAACCAATAAATTAAAATTTAATCATGTTAGTCGAGAATTCAGATAAACCATGGCAACAGATAAACAAACAATGTTTGCTGTTGAAAAAGTGCGTGAATTAAAATGGAAGTTGCGGGTTGTTCTGAAGAACCTTATGAAATTACAAACGCCGCTAACGCTGCTGTTGTGAATTTACTACCTGATAAGTCGAAAAAGTTGTATGAAGCAGCATATAAAGGTTTTAAAGACTGGTGCATAGAAAAAGATGTCGCGACCGTCACCGACAATGTTATGTTGGTTTACTTTAGCGAAAAAGCCAAAAAGTACAAATGTTCAACGGTATGGGCACAATATTCCATGGTGAGGTCTTGTATGCTCATTTACGACAATGTTGACATCAACAAATTTCCAAAATTGATATCATTTTTAAAAAGGAATTCTGATGGATATTCTCCGAAAAAATCGAAAATATTTAATAGAGAAGAGGTGGAAAAATTCTTGCTTGAAGCTGACGATGATACCCATCTTATGCGAAAGGTAAAATTGCGTTTACTTAACGTATTAAACATTGCTAACCATTTCCTCTTTAGGTTGCGTTGATTTTTGGAATATCTGGCGCATGTCGCACTGACGAATTGGTCAATATGACACTGGATAACGTTGAAGATGTGGGGTCTTCTTTCATAATTACCCTGCCACATACAAAAAACAAAACATCCAGAACGTTCGTTATAGCGAGTAATGAAGGCGGTAAAGTGGATTTTCTTCAGATAATTCGCAAATACACGTCCCTTCGACCTGGAACTAACCATGGACGATTTTTTGTTTTCTACAAGAACGGAAAATGTACTCAGCCGGTTGGGAAAAACACGCTTGGCAAGGTGCCAAATATGATCGCCAATTACTTAAAATTACCAAACCCAGAACTCTATACGGGGCACTGCATGAGGCGTTCCTCCACCACTCTATTGGCGGATGCTGGAGCTGACATCACCACTATAAAACGGCATGGTGGGTGGAAGTCCACCACAGTCGCGGAAAGCTACATTGAGAACTCTGTGGCCAACAAAACGAAGATTGCAAATCAGATTATTCAAGGTAGCACTACCTCAAATGTCAATATAACATCGGGAGCCAGTTCTGATTCGAATCTATTGATTAATAAAATTCCAGCGGTAAATTTTACAAAATGTGAAAATATAACGTTTAATTTAAATATAAACAATGTACCTTTTTAAGTTTGAGTTAATATAACCTATATAAATATCAGGGAGTTTTCATTATCATTATTTCTCAAGGGACTGAAATGCAATTTCTGTCCCTGTTTTGTGATCATAGAAACGGATTTTTACCCTCGCGAGTGCAAAAATAGTATATTATATACCGCGGGACTGAAGTAGTACTTTTAATCCCGAAGGTAAAGTTTATGGCCCGACCGAAGGGAGGGCCATAATTTACCTGAGGGATTAAGACCACTACTTCAGTCGCAAGGTATATACGATATTTTTCGTACTTCCGAAACTGAAACACTTAATATGTATGGAGTTAGAGAACGCGTTCTTTCAAAAAATCGCTGATTAACCAGTTACCATAGGAACGTTGCGTTGGTACAACAATCCCTATGCTATGGTAACAAAAATAATTTGGAAACTGTCATTGCTAGTGTCATAACTTTGGTGGTGGGTGACAAAGGTGTATTTGATATTGATCAAAAGCAGCCAAACTAGGTAAAGAATTGATGCCACCGAAATCCAAAAAACTATATGAGGAGCAGTACGATGCGTTTAAGAAGTAGTGCCCCGCATACAAAATGTGGAACAACCTACTGAAATTGCCTTGTTAGTAATTTCATCCTTCCGGGATTTTCGTCCAAATTTAATCCCGGCGGGACAAAAAGTGACACTTCAGTCCTTGTCATAATGGAGTGAAGTTGTCATTTTAGTCTCGGAAGTACGAAAACTTATTTTTGATCATTTTTATAATATTTTACACCCGGGGGTTAAAGCTATCTGTTTTATTAGGTCTCAGATAGCTGATCTCAAATGTTCACCAGCCGAAATGGTTTACGGAGGTACAATCCGATTACCTGGTGAATTTTTTGAAGCATCGCCCGGTGACGTGAATGCTCATGAGTTCATGATTAAATTGAAAGAACACATTCAGCAGTTGCGTCCAACGCAAACAGTTTCGCATGGTGTTCATACTACTTTTATACACCCAGATCTAAAAATTTTGTTTTCATTAGACAGGATCAGATTAGAACACCTCTACAACCACCATACAATGGGCCCTTTAAGGTAGTAGAACGTTTCCCTAAATATTTTACTATTTTAATAGCTGATAAAAATAATCAAATTTCAATAGACAGACTGAAACCTGTATTTTTCCTTAATGACACCACAGATCCTGCACCAATAACCACCCAAGTACAGTCTCCACAATCAGCCTCATCCTTGCCGGACGATACAGCAACTGCTGGTAAAACAACACGCAGTGGACGCAAAGTAAAATTCCCTGCGAAAAGTTGTGCAAGTATACGTTGACACTGGGGGGGGGGGGGGGGGGGGAGTAATTGTAGTGACATCTAACGACAAAAACATCTACGATCCTGACTGCGTGCGGTGACTGGGGGAATGGCGTCGGGCAATTTGGTGGTCAATCGCATGTGCTGGCTTGACGGAAGTCAAAACAATAAGGCTGATCCTGTGTGTATTGTGTAATTAGTTATTTAGTTAAACAATACAAAGACTTTAATTAAATCGTGGGGTTTATTGTTTTCGTAATCAAGTGTCCTGTAACCGGACGACCCTTGACCCCCACAACTTCATTCGTCAATTATTTTTGGAATGAGCAAATTCAGGACCATTATCGTGCAAAAATTGAATCTAATTATACTCAGTGACATGGAAATTGCAACACCAAGAAGGAGTTGGAATTTTTTGACCAAACTTGGCAGAAACGTTTAACTACTAAAAGGTAACAATTGATTAAAATTTCATTCATATGGATCAAGTGGTAATGGCTTATTTGACAGTTCTTTCATTTTTTTCTAGTATTCTTATATCGTGTACGTTTTACGAGATTTTGTTTAGTTCTTATTGTTTTCGCTTTTAATCGTTTCTTTTGAGGCTGTGATCATGCCTAGATACGCCAAAGTGGAAATTACCGCGAATTAAGAGTAGTTGACAGGTGTCGTATTGTTGGTTTGGGCGGTGGTGGTTTTTCGTTCACAAAAATTGCAAGTCCTTAACCGAAGTCAATCCACCATGATTCATTGCAATCGGGCATGGATTTGGGAAGGGGCAGGATCGTCGTAGAGAGGAAAGGAAGGGGACAGGAAAGGGTGGGGAGCGAAAAAGAACAATTGAAGTGCGGGATCGCCATCTTTGACTTATGGCAACAAGAAACCGATTCTCTAGTACCAGGTCAATTGCCGATCAATTGTTAGCTAACGAAGGTCGTCCTGTAAACTTCGAACGGTTTACCGCAGAATCAGAGCTTACGACTTGCAATCCTATCGGCCACATCTTTTGTTACCATTAACAGCTCAACACCGCCAGCAGCGTTTGGATAGGTGTAGGTTGCGACTGCACTGGAACCTAGAGCGGCATAGGGTGGTGTTCAGTGACGAATCCCGATTTTGTTTGGGTATGCATGATGGCCGTATGAAGGGCAGCCGAAGACGTGGGGAACGTCGCAATGTTGAATTTTCTGTTACGAGGCATGTGCACTAAGCTGTGGGGACTATGGTATGGAGCACTATAACTTATGGGAGTAGGGCTCGTTTGTTATTCATTCGAGGTAATATGACCCCCCCAGCAATATGTGGATGACGTGATAGAACCCCATATTCTTCCATCTCTTCAGCAGTTGGAAGACCCACTTTTCCAGCAGGATAATGCCCCTCCCCACACTGAGAGACGTTCTATGGACTTATTTGCACATGATAATGTCAATTTCTTGCCATAGCCAGCCAGATCTCCCAGTATATCGCCTATCGAGCAAGTTTGGGACAATTATGAAGAGAAGACCGATGAACTTACCGCATCCTCCGCAGACGCTGCAAGCTCTACACAATGAATTAGAGGTTACTCACAGTTGCTTGGGACACAATACCTCAAGAGGAAATCGGCCGTCTGCTAAAATCGATGCTACGAAGCGTGAGGGAGTGCATAACCAATAGGAAGGGACTACTATTATTATTAATAAAAATATGTTTATATTTCATCTTTTTTCTTTTAAATTTTAATCAATTGTTACCTTTTAGTAGCTAAACGTTTCTGCCAAGTTTGGTAAAAAAATTCCAACTCCTTCTTGGTGTTGCAATTTCCACGTCACTGAGTATATTATAACCAAGACGAAAGCTTATATATATATATATATATATTGTTGTGTTATTTTGTTTAGTTGTAACTTGAAAGAAATTATAGAGCGTCTGGATGTGACAATTTTGTTTAGTTCATTTAATTAACCGGGGGGGTTATTAATAATTTGAGACACAGGATTGCGTAAATTTCATGTTATAGTTTTGGTTCAATTTCTTAGAAGTGTTCTGTTTTTATTTTATTCCTAGAATTTTTTTTCGATGTAAATTTCTTTTTAAATTTTATTTGCCGTTAACGAGGTATAGCGCGAAGTAGAGATAAGGTTCTTCGCAGAATTGCCGGGCGTACGTGCCGTTTAGCAAGAAGTTGAAAAATCGACGCTTCGCGTGATTGGCGGACGGGGTGTGGAAGAAAGGAGAAGGGCTTTTGGCTTAAATAGAAAATTTTTGAAGAGAGCGGGGCTTTTTGGTCGTTACAAAGCCAACCGGCGCTTCTTCGGTTACGTTATTTTTTTGAATTTTGTGGAAGTTTCTTGCGTAGTGGATCCAGGTTTAATTAGAATTTTGTGTCTGCCGTTTTAAGAAGAATTATTGAGAAGTTTAAGAAGTTTGTCGCCGTCCTGTTTTTTTTTATTTTTGCGGAAACACGGAAGTTTTGAATTTGTGGGTACCCGAAGAGAGAAGACGTCGGTGTTTGAGTGGTTGGTTTACGTGATTGTGTACGGATACCTCTTTTTATCGGAATACGTTATTCGGACTAATTTTAAAAGTAAGTAGTAGTTAGTGTTTGTTTTGTCTTGTTTTTTTTTGTAATGTTTGAGTAATTTGTTTTTTTTTTGTGTGTGTCATTTATTTGTTTAAAATTGTAACAATTTGTAAAACAGAAATTTACGCAATTTTTTGTTTGAAATTAAACCAGTCATTGCAATCCAGGTTTTGTTTATTAGAGTCAAGGAGAGGTAATTGTCGGCGTCTCTTACTTTGTTTCAAGTTGATTAAATCTGGGGGTAAAGTTTCATATTGGAATTTAAGGATTTGGTTAAGCCACCTATTTATGTCATTGTTGGAATGCTGTAGGGTGGCAGAATCCAGCTGGACCTTGAGATGCGGATAAAAATTTTGTTTTCATTTTAATTACAACTGAGCTAGCTAGAGGGAAATCGTGGGATTCCCAGAAGTGTAGGTTAGGTCTCACAACAATAATTTGGCGCCCAAAACCGTGGGGCAATTTCAGGGAAACGCGAAAGTAGGTAAAAATTTTGTAGGTAAATTCAGATTAGGGTTGTTTTGTCGTTCGGGTAAAAAGTTATTTTGGTACCCAGACATGTCATTTTTAAGGGAAAAGAGGTGTCCATTGTGGAGGTTAATTGTTATAGGAATTTGTAGGATGCACAGTAAAAATTTGGGTGTTAATTTTTACACTGAAACAACACCCATAGTGGTTCGTATTTATCCACACTGATCAGTGTCAACAACATTTACTTCTGCGATGGTAGGATGTGTGACAAGTTTAACCATTTTTAATGGTTCAAATGATAAAATATGTATACCATTACAACACCTTTAAACAGTTATAAAAATGTACATGAAATGTTATTAGATATTTTATGAGAAAAAATGACTAGCATAAGTGGTTAATAGACCAATCTTTAGTGGTTGCAAAAAACACGCACACAATGTTTTTTACAAAATGTGAGGGTTACAAACATCCTGTAATTGACTATAAAAGATATTACGAGTGTAAAATTACCATAACCGTTGTGTGAAAACCATCAAATATAATATGATTAAAACACCTTTTTACTGTAAGGAAGATGTTATCCAAGTGTTGCAATAATGTATTTGAGTGTAAATATCATTCTTGTTCTGTGTAAAAATAATTGCACTTTGTGGTTGCAGGATTTTTAATCCACTGTTTAGGTCCAAGCAAGTAATTTCGATTTTAGTAGTAACAAATAAAAAAACAACATAATAAAATAATCTTTTATTTTGAAATGAAAATATAGAAAACCAAACAATACTCTAAAGAAAACCTAACACGGACTAATCTTATGTATACCTATAGAATATATAGATACCTAAATATCTACCCTCTCAACATACTAAAATAATGTTTTACATAGGTACTAATCCATAATACATAGAAGTATAATACAAAAATAACACATTAGATTTGTACAAATATATGTTTAGGTACTATATAATATGAACTAGAAACCGTTTTGCACTCATATGGTTCCTTGTAAACTAGTAATTTTGGATCGCAAATAGAAATTTCAATTGAGGGTTTAATTAGAAATGCATTTAAACTTTCTTTAAACTCTTTAGTTTCCCAGGATTTTGTTATAAAAAATGGCTGTTCATCTATTAGAATAATTTTTATTATCTCTTGAAAGATAGGTAGCTGGCCATTAACTTTTACGCAAACTAAGAAAGAGGGTTTATAATGGAAACCACATTTCAAGAATCTAGTTTCGTTAAGAGTGACAGAATTTGGAACGTCTAATTCTTCAATAATAACATCTTTAAATTCGTAGTTACTCAAATCAAAGTGCTTGACAGGCCCGAAGGTCATATGCAATTTATAAAGTTTATGGGTATTTATACTTTGCTTTATTTGATGTCTTATAGACAACGTTTGTGGAAGATTCTTAAAATTTTTCCCCTTATTTACTAAATCTTTGAAATATCCATGCTTTGATTCAAATCGCATGGCCCATAAGTGTATAAGAGGGCCCATATTCCTAATCGCTTGTGGATAATGAATCATCATATGGTGCTTAGGCAAAATGTTTCCGATGTATTGTTTAACTAAATGATGATGTTTACAAATTAAATTCTCTAGGACATACGTCATGGCAACTGGTATTATGGGGGCAAAAGATATATTCATTATTTCCAACAGTAAAGTAATTATATTCCACCTTTCATCACACTTTGGAATTACATCAATTAGTATTAAAGGTAAATATCGCACAAGAGTCCATGTTTGAGCTGCACGTTCTCCTATATTGGCACCAGATTTTTCTATGTTAACAGGACTTGGTTTTGTACATTGATCGATAGAACCGTAATTGAAGAAAAAAATTCTTTGATTGACTTCATTGAGAGAGATAATTTTTTTGGATACTAAATAAGATAATATAGATTTAATTTCAAATTGAGCTACGCCTTCGAGAATATCATGCATGATATCTACTGATGATATATTCCCCAAATTAAAATATTGTAATTCATTTAAAACGCTTTTTGCTTTAATTCCGTAATAGTTAGAACCGACTTCGATTTCGGGCAAGGTATTAAAAAACTCTTGATTTCTGGCACGGCAAAGTGGATCCGACTCATTAAAAATAACTTGGGTGTCGCTTTTATGCATTAAACACATTCGACAAAAATAATTTGCGCTAAATGATTCAACCATACCCATTAAAGCATTGCCGCCAAGATTGTCAAAACTGAGTGCAACTAAAGTACCCTTTAACTTATACGGAAGAAATGAAACTTCAATACCGTCCCTTTCTAAAATTTTTAGATCTGATACAAGTGGTTGTAAAAATTTGTTTATAGAGTACTTTTTCAAATCTGATGAGTAAAATAATGCCGCAACATGTATATTATCCAATTGTCCTAAGTACATTGTGGGGATATTTCTTATATTAAAATAAAATGCACCAATTTTGTGAATGCCAGTTTTCGAACCTAAAGGCGCTGTACATTCAAATTCGTCAAAATACAGCTGAATAAGAATTGCATTCGGATTTTCCTTAAATAACGGATTCTTCTTGTAAGAATCGCTATCGAAAAATGTCTCAAAATGATCGCTTTTCACCAATGACCCATAGTCTCTTGTAAAATATTGTTGAATATTTTCATTCTGCAATAATGCAGACAAAGTATTAAGGATAGGAATGTATGTAAAAGTATCCGTAACATTCTTTTCAATATAGGTATTACTAGCTTTATGAAGTATTTGATCGCTTCTCACACCTACCGCAACTTCTACAGGTGTAACAACAGAGTTAGAAAAAAACTTTTTAATTTTGTAAACCGAATTATACTTTTGAATAGAAGCTGTAATTGTATTGAAAAAAATGTTACAATTTTGGTTATCGTTTTGTGACAAAATGTCAAGCGTATCTTCAAAAACACAGTTCATCAGCTCATCGACATTGTCTACTACTGTAACTATTGTAGAAAGCGGCATTCCCATCGACATTAATTTTGAAATAAAAGAAATTATATGAACACTAATATCAGACGCAATTGTTTCAACACTCGTCCCATGTGTTCGTTCATTCAAATCTGAAGGATGGGGGTCCCCATTTCCTTCAGATTGATCACTGGGGTTGATATTACTATCCTCCGAAGTAATACTGCAGATAGTATTCCTGTACACCTCTGCATTTGTACACTATCTATGAAATCATCATTTCTACATAAAACATTAACAGAAGGTTTAATAATACATTTAACCAAATGTTTTTTGTATCCACAGTATGTATTAAATGTGGAGGCGCATTGATTGTTGCAACATTTCAAAGAAAGATTTTCACGAGAACTACGGAAATGCCAAAGACGTATGTGCTGTAATAATTTTGTGATTTCTGTAAATGTTCGAAAACATATGACACACTTCAGATCCATTATTACTTACACGATTTTATTAATTTATCAAATAAAATTTAATAAAATATTCCACAAACTTTGTCTGTGCGTCTTTACTTCAATACTTTTTCAATAATAGTTTTAAGTAAAATACCCATTAAAATTGTATTCAAAAATTGAGAATCCTATTCTTAAGCTCCCTCATTTTAGTGGTATAATGGATATTATCCGTCTCTATGTTATAAAAAAAATCCTGAATAAAAGTAAAAAATGTTTCTAGTCCAACATCAAATTTGATTTTAAATACGAAATAAGTTTTAAACAGAAAATCAAACGCTTGCAAAATTGAGCTCTGACCTGTTTCTAAAAATTTGTTATCTACGACTACTTTAAAATCATGAATTGCTGCCTTGTTAGAACCAATAGCGATTAGGTAAGGTTGACTTCCTTTTGCGGCACCTATGATGGCTTCTAGTGGATCTCCAACCTAAAAGAGATATTAGTTAAGTAATCGATTTCAAAAATACTGCAAAAGTTTGAAATTATATTGACTAATCTAAATGTATGTTGTATCGTCCTTTAACTATTCATTTCTTAAATTAAAATTAAACGAACTCGGAATGACTATTAAAAGATACTTACTTTCCAAAAATCAAACGTATTTAAATATGAAATACTTTTTTAAGCAACATAAGCAAATACTAAATACAAATACTTTAAAAAGAGAAGTATTTATCTACTTTAGAAAGTATTATATAATAATAATAATAAAGTATTTAGAAAAAAGTAAATGCTTCCCAAAAGTATTTAAATACTCCAAAACTGCTAAAAGTATTTGCGCTTTCAAATAAGAATTTCAAATGCTTCCCAGCTCTGTTGTGGTATATAGGTAGGTACTTACCGACGAAAATACTATTAATTTCTGAAACAAAGAATTCAACGTGTCCCTGGAGTAGCCACCAGATTTTCTTCCTTTAGCGGTAGAAGGCAGCATATGAAGGATTGCAAGTAGGGCTTGTGTATTCTTGTCCCAAGCTATAATTAATACTTTAGACTATTTCTGAGACACACATGATAAATCGGTAGATACCTTCAATATCCGTTGATTTGTTAGAAATAGTTGCTTCATACACAGCTAGTATCTTGTTCACGTATTTTTCAAATTCAATATCAAATTGGTTGGCGTTTGGGTACAATAAGGTAAAATCTTGTTCAATCTAAAAATATATATAATATTACAATAACACACTATGAAAAACTAAATATGAAAGCATACAAGCCCTGGCGTGTCTAGGAATCTTGGGTAGTCATTAAGTGAAAAATCATTGTTTATTCTGCAGTCTAGGGTATTTTTCATTTTTTGAAATATTTCATGTTTTTGAGTTTTAGTGCACGCATTTTTCAAAAACTCTATATCAGCAAGCTCTTGCTCTTTTAATGTATGCGAAAGCTTCCTTTTTTTTGGATCGTTCGTAGTAATTGCCAATTGTTTTCTTTTCTTATGAAAACTGGGCATGGTTCTAACAACGGTCCTCAACCTCCAAGCTAAATACCCACTAGGAGTTCGTTGGGAATCATCATAAAATATTTCCTAAAAATATGGAATGAGTAAAAAAATTTGCACTTCTATTAAAATAAGGTAGTATAGAATATTTAATATTTCAAAGAATTTGAATATTTGAAATATGTTATTTGTTAATACTATATTCTCATAACAGTGTGTACCAAATATTTTTTTTTACTAAATTTTATGGAAATTGTAATGGAGACTTTATTCATTTGTTAATGAATAAATTTTGTTAAAAATATATTAGTTTGTAAGTATGCATTCACTTAAACGTTAAACCATTAGGTACACCACTTTGTTATAGCCAAAAATGTGTACAAAAAGCATTAACATACATATCCTCCCTTGGTACTGTTTGGGTCCTTTAGCTTGGGAAACAGTTCAACAAGTGCTTTAGCAAATTCCACTTTAATTTCTTTCGACAAAGAAGTTCCATAATTTTTTATCATCATGCGGACCGTTAAATTAACTAACTCTTTCCGGGTCCGGTTTGTTAAAATTTTGTTTTTGTCATATTCCTCCAAAATGTTTTCTCCCCCATTATTATGTAAAAATTCTTTTAGCATCTGAAACAATATTTAAGAGATATAAGTAACTCCCTTGTCTAAATGTACCATAAAAAATACAGTAGGTGTAAGATAATGGTAAATTTTGAGACAATTTTTATCTAATTACCTTTCCATTTACATGTTCATTTTTTGCCCCTGCGGCATAATCTTTATCGATTTTTGGAGGAATAACAAATCCATCTTGGTCGATATTAAGCACAAATACGTTGTTTGGATCTGGATCAGATTCTTTTTCGGCATTTTTCAACCACTCCTCAATTTCTATGGCGGAAGGAGTTTCTTTGGTCAAGGATAGGGTAGAATCAGAAGATGTAAGTTCCTGATGTGTGTGTATTCCACCTATTTTTAGGACGCAGTTAGGAGTACTGAGATAATCGTGAATACAATCCTCCTCAACCACAGTACCCTCTAAATCAGTAAAAAAAATGTCGCTAACTAACTCTTCACTGATGTCAAATTTGGTTCTGGCTAAAAAACAACTATATATTAGTTTTTTTGAGGTTTCAGAAAATCAACGATTCATTTTGTTCAAAATATTCAGCATATTTAAATTAGATGTTTATAAAATTTGTTTCGTTTGCCATAGCAAATTTTCTTCATTTGTTTGTAACTTTTTTTAAAGAGATACTTTGAATCGAAAAATTGTTAATGATTGATCAAATTTTTAATATCATTTTTAGTTTTGTCGATATAACGTAAACCAATATTTTTTTTAAACAACAATAATAATAATATAAATAACAAAATTTTTCACTCGTAGGTGGCTATGACAATGTTAAAAAGCGTCCTTAATTTCCTTTCCAATAATATCATATCAAATTATTTGTGAAAATAAAGGATAAAACAAAAAACTAATTCTTTAAAATATAAATCTAAAACAAAATTAAATCTAGCATGCTTATAGATTACACAAGGCACTCAAAAGATAAAAATTTAAAATACCTAACTGGTTATTTGTTATAACTTTTTTTCGAGTTGAAGATCTTATACCTACCTACTACTTGTTTATCTACGCCTTGGAACGTTTGCACATTCGTCATTCGTGAAGTTGAATTTGTTTTAAGATTTAAATTTAAAAAATGACTTTCTTGTTGTATTGTCTTTATTTTTAGGCATAATTTGATCATCTACATATATGGTATTACTGAAAAGGAAATTAGAGGCACTTTGTAATAATGACTTGTTTTTAAGAAAATACAATTCAAATTAATTGGCAAAGATAAGTGATATAGGTAATGAATAATGGTCTACCTACGCTGTTAATAATCTTCATAAAAAGCTGTCTTACGAACAAAAATTTTTTATCTACTTTGCGTTACTAATTGACCCATTATTATATCAAAAACAGTTTAATAATGAAGGCTATTATTAACGTGTTTTTGGTAATTTTTCGTTGTCCCATATTGGTAACATCCGTCGCGTCTCAGAATATGTCAAACGTCAGTACAGTTACATTTAACGCACCTTTTCCTCGACACCACTCTGTGAAGGCGCGGTACGCTTTGTCATGTGCCGGCTTGGATTTTACTACCAGCAAATTTTCAGTAGCATCTTGAGCGGCTGTGCGAATATCTGGCGGTGTACAGGTAACTCATTTACGGCTTCCATTTCAAAAAATTTACATGTGAATCAAATGACAGATTATTTGAATTTGTTTCACTGCTACTAGATTAGTGTTTTATCAACCGTCACAAAAGTCCCTAGTTTAACACGAAAATTGAGCAGCCGAAATTTCAAGAATTTAGTAAAGCAAAGTAGATAAAATAGTATATTACACTTGTTTAATAAGACGTATTATCACACTCGTTCGATTGAAGCACTCCTCGCTACGCTCGTCGTGCTTCAAACACACTCGTGTGATAATACAGCGTCTTATTAAACTTGTATAATAATATACTATTTTTCAATGGCTATGGAATCAAACCTCTTCAAATAAAAAAATCGGATGTGGCCATGCACATGACTTTACCATACTTTAAATCATTTTACGAGTATAATATAACATCACATACTTTCCAAATATGTCAAAAAGTATGGCATTTATGAGAAAAACCATAGAATGCAAAAATGTTCTAAATTAAATTTTGAACAATTTTTTCAAAATTTTGGATAAGAGTAAGCCCCAAGTTTCCGTGAACCAATTTCAACTAAAACCTAATCAACTATAAGTCTCAACATTAGTGTACTAAATATGAATTTTGGTTTTGAAATTCTTACTAGTTTTTGAGGTAGAGCGCGCACAAAATTTGACCACGCACACATAGACACACACACACACACAGACATCTTTCAAAAAAGGTCTTATTTGTTTTAGGGGACCCCAAAACGTGTAAATCTGTCAAAATCAAAATTTTTTTTGCACGATTACAATACTTTTCCCTACTTCGTATGGTAAAGTAAAAAGTTCAAACAAAGTGAATTGGAAAATTCAGTTTTTTCAAACGAACGAAGCAAATTCAATATGCTGAATATTTTATTCCGTTGAACCGAATCGCTATATCTTCCATGCTTAAAACGATCGCTTGGACACATTGTATAGTACCTACATAAGATTTGAAAAACGCTGCATTATATTTAGAGTGTTGACTTACGTTACTTACGTTAAACCATTGGTTAAACTTACTTTTGTTCTCCCAGTATCAAATAGTACCCAGACCAATTTCGGTCAAAAATTTTTCTTAACTGGGAGTAAAATACACTCACCTCTTGACCTCTGTAAGGTTTAGGTAGAGCGAAAATGGCTTTATGATTGGATAGATTGGTATAATATTATGTAGGTAGGTTAAGGTAGGTACCGACAAAGAGCAACAGCCAGACCTTTCTACAAAAGGTCGTACTCTTGGGAGAGTTTTAAAGATTAGCAATGAGAAAAATGGATTTTCAGCTAACTGCTAACACGTAGGACTCTTAGAGAGTATGTCAGGATGAGTTATGTTAATCTGTGTAAGGTGTAAGCTATGCTATATGTAGATACCTATAGTACCTACAGGTATTTTATTAAAAATAACGTAATACTTTGTTAGATATCTTGGTCATGAAATATGAATTTAACTATATTGCGATAGTGCACAAAAATGCTTCATAATTTAATTTTCTAATTCCTTGGACGTTAAAAAGAGGGGTCGGGGACAAGAGAATGCTCGTAATATAAGGAATTACGAACGATAGTGTGGCGACCTAGGTTAATGAATTACGTCATCAACCTAATGAAAGTCTCATAGGAAGGTGAGCGAAAATAGCATCATAATCTCATGTCAGTGAACGTTAATTAAAATGCACAACAAATGAACAAACACTGCATTCTTTTTAACGCGTTTCATTCATACAAACCGACTCTCCTCGTCGTGACATACCATGGTATCAAATAACCAATCAGAATAAAAAATGATAGGTATAGCCAACAGTTCTGATTAAAAATGTTTACTAACTTCGTTAACGCCTTACGAAGAACGCTAGGGTGAATGCCAATATAAGATAGTTCATTTTCAGTTTCACAACTACGACTTTTTGTATATTGTGCTATGAACTCGTGCGTTGCAATATGGGATGGGGTTGTAATTTTCAAAGATTACTTACGTATCTAACATATTATGCCTATTTACGAGTAAGTTAGGTAACTACTTACCTAGTTGTACTATGTCGTAGTACGTAGCCTCTGCGCCAATTTTAGCGAATTTGCTTTTGTTTTCAAGCTGAATCTTAAACATTTTAATCACATCACAGCACATCGCACTATGACTACATCCGCGCTCCGGACCGGTAGCTTAAGACTGCTGATTTAAAATGGAACTGCTATTCCAGGCAAATTTTGCATTTTCAACACTCCTGGGTGTTAAATTTGTTCGTGATTGTATTAATAACACGGTATGGTGTTAGTAGCAACAACAATACTGCGAATAAAGTTTGTGTAAGATGACTTTGACACTAGTAAAATGCTGTAAACCCAATTTTTAATAAATGAACATCCTAAAAACCTTTTCTTGAATTTTTTTTTGTTAAAGTCACACGCAATGTGTGCATAGTAGTGGGTGTTAATAATGAATGTTAGTATTACTTACAAGAGTGTAAAAATTAACACTCGTTTACTTAACCACTCAAAGAATCTTATTCTCCATTACAACATTTTTTACTGTGTGCGTAGGCGTAGGAACTTGTTAAAATGTGACAGGAAGAATTTGGTAGGGTGTTTTTGCAATTTAAATTAGATTAGGATGTTTAGGATAGGATTAGTTACGGGGTAGGTAGTGTTAGAATTAGTGTTAGGATTTTTTTTTGGAACGTGATTTTTATTCAAGACGAGAAGAAAGTAGAGTTGTTCACGATGGGAGTGTCAGCTATTCAGGCAGCGAGTTTTGCGGTGTTTATAGAAGCGATAAGAGAGTTGAAGCAGGATTTGGGCGAAAAAATGGATGAAATGAAAGCGGAATTAAAAGCGGAATTAAAGGAAGAAATCAGACAAGAAATAGAATTAATGAGAAAGAAGCGATCAAATGAGATGGTAATTAAAGAAGAAGTTGAAGTTAAGGATGAAGTCGAGATTGAAAAAGTTCATAGGCAAGATGAAGAAGTCGTACAAGAGAAAGAAGATGAAGGGATTTTAGTTGAAAATAGGGTTGAAGTAGGTAGTTATTTTATTGCAGGAACTGGTAGGGAACCAGAATTGAAGGTGAAGTTGTATTGCGTGAATTATAGGAAGTTTGAAATAGAAGATGAGAATAGGGATTTGAATTATTTAATAGCGAAGAGTTTTGTGGATAATAAGTTTTATTGTAGGGGTAGAAATTTACAGGCGAATTTGTTTGAGATTAAGTATGTGAAAGGGAGTAATAGTTTAAAAAGGAATAATAATTTATGTGTGGACGTTTTATCAAGGAAAGGAATAGGCGGGAAGGAGATAGGAACTAATTATGAGATTTTAGATAACCAGATAAGGGAGAATTATTTTCAGGATTTTTGGAGGAATTTTTATGATGATAGGGTAGTAGGAGACTTAGAATTGGAATTATCGATTGAGAATGAAGGGAATTTGTGTAGCTTTGAGCAGGATGAGGATTGTAGGAAGCAGGATAAGATTAAAAGAGTTAGGAGTAGTGAGTTTTTGGAAGAAGTAGGCATTGATTATTTGAATAATTTAATTATGAGTGAAAAGGGTAAACGGATTGTTGTAATTGAAGAATTAAGAGATTGTTTTATGTGTGGGATTTTTATAGAGAAGCCCTGGATTAATTTAGAAAAGGGGGGAGGAAAAGAAAAGCGAGAATGGAAAAAGTTTAGGAAAAAGATTAGGAATGTTAGTGGTAGTTCTTAAATTTTTATACTAGGATGATGAAATTTCTCAGGCTCAGCTGGTGACGTCACCGTGCGGGGTTTCAGTAATGACTAGGGAGCTGTGTTAGGCGATCGTGTCCGAATACCTAAAGCAGGTCCCGAAGTTATTTTAAAGTTTTAATTGGTAAATTGAAAAAAAAAACCCTGTAATTCCAATATTTTGTTTTGTTTTCATAGTCAGGGGAGGATTGTAATTTTGTGTTTTTGTGTTCAATTTAAAGGGGGAAAATGTTGTGTTATTTTGTTTAGTTGTAACTTGAAAGAAATTATAGAGCGTCTGGATGTGACAATTTTGTTTAGTTCATTTAATTAACCGGGGGGGTTATTAATAATTTGAGACACAGGATTGCGTAAATTTCATGTTATAGTTTTGGTTCAATTTCTTGCTTTACGGACGTTTCGCCCCCGCCGTTTCGCCCCCGACCGTTTCGCCCCCGCCGTTTCATCCCCAGCCGGTTCGCCCCTAAACCGTTTCGCCCCCGAACCGTTTCGCCCCCAGAGTTGTACCCCTACATTTAACCATTTGCCCGACACGTTAAAACTGTATACTTAAACGGGCAGAACGTGCCCACTGGACCCAGTGCATTTTCATTGCTTGTATTCATCTATTAATTGCGTACCTACTGAAATTATTGAATTGTTTATAAATAAGCACAATGATCAGCAAGAATTGTAATGGCTCATATTGAAAATTTGTAATTTTGGACACCGAATATGTTGCATAATTGACACCAAACTTTAATTGCTCTGTAATCAGAGTAATTATATATTCATGACTGCGAATTTGACAATTTTAGAAAGTGTATACACTCTTTCTAATGACTGGCCTAATGACCGAAATTAATTATGTAAACATTCTTCTCATTGTTGTACGCAAAATTTGTGATTTTAGAGAGCAAATATGCTTATAATTAATACTAAACTTTAATTTCTTTGTAATTACGTCTTCCACAACCATTAAGTACCTGAAATATTGATAATCGACATTCGAAAATGCTATAAAAGCCAGTAATAAGTATTGTCCAATCATTTGTATTGTGTGTTTCGTGACGGCTCGTTTAGTCATCTCGTATTGATAGCAATGGCGGACCACGTTTTATCAAAGCGAAATAAGAACAAACTTGTCCATGAAAACCACATTTACGTTTTCTCCAAAAAAACAAAAAATGGAGAACATGGGATATGGGTGCGCGAACTCCGATCAAGCTGCAAGGGTCGAGTATGGACAAACGGAAAAGATGGTGAAGTGGTGAAAACAGTTACGCATCATAACCATGCAGCACAAGCTGCCAGGCCAGCAGCCATTCGATTGGTTACGACGGTAAAGGAGCGTGCCGCAACGACACAGGAGAGCCCACATCAAATTATAGCAAATGTCATCCCACAAGCTCACGCAGATGTTGCTGCAATCATGCCAAAAAAGGATGCATTGAAGAAAACGATCCGCAGAGCCAGACGAGATGAAGAAGCACCTGCGCTTCCAAGAAATATGCAAGAATTGGTGATTCCCCGAGGTTTTAGTGAAATCGTTATTGATGGTGAAGTGCAACAGTTTCTAATGTACGATTCGGAGAATCAACTGATGCCAGGAAGGATCCTCATCTTTTCAACCAGAAGCAACCTTCATCTTTTGGCCCAAAGTCAAGAATGGTTTGCAGATGGCACGTTCAGTACCGCACCAGCTATTTTTGAACAACTTTACACCCTCCACGCCATCAAAAACAGTGCCGTTGTTCCGCTAGTGTACGCTCTCTTACCGAATAAAACAAGAGCTACGTATGTTACATTTTTACAACAATTGAAACGTTTGCAACCTGGACTGCAACCAACTCAACTCATGACGGATTTCGAACTCGCTGCCATGCAAGCATTTGAATTGGAGTTTCCAGGTATTTTAAAGACTGGATGTTTTTTCCATTTATCGCAATCCGTTTGGAGAAAGGTGCAAAGTGAAGGCCTCAAAGCTCGCTACGAGAATGACCATGAGTTCGCTCGATGGATTAGAATGATTCCTGCTTTGGCGTTTGTTCCTGAACATAACGTAAGCGACTCATTCACCGAATTACTTGAAACCGAAGGATTTCCTGAAGAGGCTGTACCCATAGCGAATTATTTCGAAGACACATATATTGGTCGAAGACTACGTCGTGGGCGTCAAATTCCACTATTTCCAACTCAAATTTGGAATGTTTATCAGCGCACTCTTAACGACCAACATCGCACAAATAATCACGTGGAGGGATGGCACCGCGCTTTTCAAGAAACTTGTGGGTCCCAATTTCCAAATATTTTTCGTTTTATTGAATGTTTGCGGAAGCAGCAAGGTATTCATAATTACGAAATAATACAATCCATTGCAGGAAATCAAGGAAATCCAAGAAACAAGAAGTATGTTGCAATATCAGCTCGAATCAAAAGAATCGTTGAAGATTTTGAAGATCGCCATCTTACCGATTATTTGCATGGGATAGCGTACAACTTCGAATTTTGAAATTGTTCCGATTGTACAGCGAAATATGTTAAGATATCTTATTTTTATATTTATATGTAACCTGCTAAAACAATAAAAATAAAATTCTTGCTGATCATTGTGCTTATTTATAAACAATTCAATAATTTCAGTAGGTACGCAATTAATAGATGAATACAAGCAATGAAAATGCACAGGGTCCAGTGGGCACGTTCTGCCCGTTCAAGTATACAGTTTTAACGTGTCGGGCCAATGGTTAAATGTAGGGGTACAACTCTGGGGGCGAAATGGTTCGGGGGCGAAACGGTTTAGGGGCGAACCGGCTGGGGATGAAAGGGCGGGGGCGAAACGGTCGGGGGCGAAACGGCGGGGGCGAAACGTCCGTACCCGAATTTCTTAGAAGTGTTCTGTTTTTATTTTATTCCTAGAATTTTTTTTCGATGTAAATTTCTTTTTAAAGTTTATTTGCCGTTAACGAGGTATAGCGCGAAGTAGAGATAAGGTTGTTCGCAGAATTGCCGGGCGTACGTGCCGTTTAGCAAGAAGTTGAAAAATCGACGCTTCGCGTGATTGGCAGACGGGGTGTGGAAAAAAAGGAGAAGGGCTTTTGGCTTAAATAGAAAATTTTTGAAGAGAGCGGAGCTTTTTGGTCGTTACAAAGCCAACCGGCGCTTCTTCGGTTACGTTATTTTTTTGAATTTTGTGGAAGTTTCTTGCGTAGTGGATCCAGGTTTAATTAGAATTTTTGTCTGCCGTTTTAAGAAGAATTATTGAGAAGTTTAAGAAGTTTGTCGCCGTCCTGTTTTTTTTTATTTTTGCGGAAACACGGAAGTTTTGAATTTGTGGGTACCCGAAGAGAGAAGACGTCGGTGTTTGAGTGGTTGGTTTACGTGATTGTGTACGGATACCTCTTTTTATCGGAATACGTTATTCGGACTAATTTTAAAAGTAAGTAGTAGTTAGTGGTTTGTTTTGTCTTGTTTTTTTTGTAATGTTTGAGTAATTTGTTTTTTTTTGTGTGTGTCATTTATCTGTTTAAAATTGTAACAATTTGTAAAACAGAAATTTACGCAATTTTTTTGTTTGAAATTAAACCAGTCATTGCAATCCAGGTTTTGTTTATTAGAGTCAAGGAGAGGTAATTGTCGGCGTCTCTTACTTTGTTTCAAGTTGATTAAATCTGGGGGGAAAGTTTCAAACAAGACAAAACAAACCACTAACTACTACTTACTTTTAAAATTAGTCCGAATAACGTATTCCGATAAAAAGAGGTATCCGTACACAATCACGTAAACCAACCACTCAAACACCGACGTCTTCTCTCTTCGGGTACCCACAAATTCAAAACTTCCGTGTTTCCGCAAAATAAAAAAAAAAAACAGGACGGCGACAAACTTCTTAAACTTCTCAAAAATTCTTCTTAAAACGGCACACACAAAATTCAAATTAAACCTGGATCCACTACGCAAGAATCTTCCACAAAATTCAAAAAATAACGTAACCGAAGAAGCGCCGGTTGGCTTTGTCACGACCAAAAAGCCCCGCTCTCTTCCAAAATTTTCTATTTAAGCCAAAAGCCCTTCTCCTTTCTTCAACATCCCGTCCGCCAATCACGCGAAGCGTCGATTTTTCAACTTCTTGCTAAACGGCACGTACGCCCGGCAATTCTGCGAAGAACCTTATCTCTACTTCGCGCTATACCTCGTTAACGGCAAATAAAATTTAAAAAAAAATTTACATCGAAAAAAAATTCTAGGAATAAAATAAAAACAGAACACTTCTAAGAAATTGAACCAAAACTATAACATGAAATTTACGCAATCCTGTGTCTCAAATTATTAATAACCCCCCGGTTAATTAATTGAACTAAACAAAATTGTCACATCCAGACGCTCTATAATTTCTTTCAAGTTACAACTAAAACAAAATAACACAACAATATATATATATATATATATTTTATTCGCCATTTATTTGGATTTTTTTAAATTCAAGAAGAATGTTCAAACCGTACGGACCTTATTTTATAAAAACGTTAAAATACCAAATTTGGCGCACATAACAGATTTTGTTTGACAGTTTTCACACATAGCATTCAATTTACTTAAATTAATAAAACAACTTTTTAGCCATTTAAATCTTTATTTCGTCGTGTTTTCTACATTAAACATTATCACAAGTTAATGAATCATAGAAAGGGTGGTATTCTAACGGCAATGAACTCTTTAGTATTTGTAACTGCGAAAATTTCTCTTTTTTTATTTTCTTTTGACCCTTATAAAGAGGTTGTAGCTCTCCTCTGCTTTTGTTGGGACGTCGTAGGAGAAGATCCGTCCATTCATTAGGGTGCCTAATTTTATATTTTACGGATCCATAAGGTAGATACTGCAAAGCTCGTATATCAGCCACTGTTGGATCTCCCATTTTTCGACCAGGTCAGAAAGTGTGATGTACGGGTTTTTTGGGGCGGGCTATTTACATAATCGCCTGGACTTGAACAGCGCCTCCAACGTAGAATCTACACTGTCTGCTTCCATCATTGTGTGACCCTTCTCTAGTATCAATTGTTCAATAACAATTCCATGTTTCACCGCTAAATTGCATAACTCGCTGGATAATACTTTGTTACGTTTTTGGTAATAATAACAATAATAATAATTTATTAGTGCGTCAACAACAAAGTTTTGCATACGTCATAACTTCATAAGAGTGGGATGTAGAATTACTATAAAGAATACAATTTAAATAAACATAACAAAACAATAAAGAAAACAGTACTAAACTATAAAATTGTTGTCGAATTTGTGGCTTTACGGCTTGTTTAAATGAATAGAACAATACATACCAATCACCTAGAAGTCAGCAGTTCTCAACAGATTATTTGTTCATGTATTGTACATCTTCGCCCAGCCGTCGTTCGTTGGGGCGTGCCGCAGCGAGTTCCTCTTCTATCGTCCTGGTTGTCTTTTGCGCCTCTTCATAACGCTGCCTTTATACGGGCGCCTTCTGCTGCAGCCATGCTAGCGACACCTTCGCCAATTCTCGAGGTGTTGACGGTTCAAACCAGGAGGGAACGACGGCTGTTGGAAGCTCTACGTTTTCAGCCGATTGTGTGTTTTCTGGAGTTTCTGAAGGAGGCTCGGAGATTGTGTCGTAAAAACTTTGCTCGAATACCTCCCTCGGAACCGGAACCGTCATGTCCTTCTATGCATGCCTGTAACAAAGAGAATAGCAAGTTTAATATCTTCATGCTAAAATTGCACAAAAATCATGTTTACCTCTCAGTTGGACCATCCTCGTCCACTAAATTAATGACATCTTCTTGCGGTTTTGCTGCAGTTTTGGTATTTTTCGGTAGCAACATACCTGTCGTTGATAAACTGCCACTCTTTTTTGTAGAAAGTTTTACAGGTTTTGCTGCCGACATGAAAGCGATTTGTATCGAACTCTAAACTGGTCCATGTAAGGCATGTACGGGTATATACCGAGAAAATTTTGTTAACGTTATAAACTCTTCCGGGAACGTAAACTTTGCTCAGTCATTTTCGTCATTACATTTTATTTATACATTTAAAAAAATCCAAATGATAGTTTTTTCACTTCCCCGGTCAGAGGATTGTATTGAACTAGTGCATCGTGCACGATCAGACAATAAGCAACCGTCGAATGCTTCAGACTTCAGAGATTCGTTTTCTTTCGAACAGTCCAGCACATATATTGGACAAATTTTAAAATACAAATAGTCAAACAGAGGTCTTGCTCATCCTTGGCGTAATAATCTCGTCGAAAGTTTACGTAGTTTTGATATGCCGTTATGTTCTTATTTGCATTAAAATCTAAATGCATCGCTTCGTACGGATAACTTTCATAGTATTCAGTTTTAGATTTCGACTCGGCCTTGTTCTTCAAAAGTTAAAAGAATTGGAAGTCTACCAAAATTAACCGTTTCTGAGGCGGTAGCGATTTGCACTAAATTTGTCCTACTTTTATATAAGAAAAAGGATACTACTATTAAATCTTTGAACGAGCTCAGACATATTTGGACCAAAACAACGAACAAAACGGCCTCTGAACTACCACCAACATATGAAGCATTTCTACATGTTCTAAGGTAAAGAGTAGGTAAATAGCTCATTCATCAATTTTGTTTTATTGATTTTATTTTAGAACTATATACCAAACAAAAATATGGCAACATAGTCATTAGGGTGGATCGAAAAAAACTTTTTTTCGAATCTGATAATGGCCCGGGTGGCAAAAGTTGCCATTCATAAAAGTAAGTTTTTTTCCCAAAAAAATTTTTCTTTTAAATCAACCCCTTCAGGTGCCCCAACCCCCTAAAAAAAAATTTTTTTTTGGAAAAAATTTTCGATACGGCCCTATGTGTAAACTCATCTTGAATGTTTAAAAAGTGTGTGTTCAAAAATTGGAGGCTCTCGGACCATTTTTGGAGGTGCCCCAGTTAAGTATAGAAATATGTGTTTTTATTTATTTTGACTTTCAATTATATTTTGGTTACTTTTCACATTATTTTGTTTTATTCAAGTTAATTAAATTTCTATAGCTAAAAATATTATAACTATTGTTTCTTTTGTTTCAGATACCAAACAAAGTAAAATGAGCGCAAGAACTCCTACCAGGAAAACCACGCATTGTCCTATCTTTGAAACCCTTGGCGAGATGTCCCAGCTAAGACTTCCCACGAATGCGGATATAATTCGACACTTCTTGTTTGTCAGGAATGAGAAAAAGGGCATCATGGCAGGCAAAGATCCACCAGCTTCAATAATAGCAACAGAAACTGCAAATACTCTAGTGAACATCTGGAAGAAGTCATCGGTTCCAACAATTACACTAAAAAAAGTTACTGAGGAAGTAAAAAAATTGAATACGGACTATAGGACCCTCCTCAAACCATATAAGGGCAGACAGCAATCTGAAAGCTACACAAAGAAGCTTAGAGATTTAAAACTTAGCTGGGAGGAAACTCTCTTTGATATCGCTAGTTGTAAATGTAAAGA